AGCAGATAGCTGCACAGCTGAATTTGTCCTTGGCAGCTTATTGAAAACTGTCCTAAGCACTTTCCATTTTATCACATGCACTGAACTATATAGAGACACGCTCCAGAAATTTAGCAATACACTGAATATATTCTGTCTAGTATAGTTGGAACAAAAATCTATTATAGGCTTCTTTAAAGTTATAAGAAATAGAGTCATAGTGAAAACATATATTTGGGTATACATTTTTAAATGTTCCCAAGGAAAACTGATTTTTTAAAAAGGAAACATATAAACTGTTTTTGGCTTTAATTAATAGATATGGTGTTCTGTGGGTCCAATAATTAATTTAATGGGTTGTTATTTTTTCCTCTATGAAATGGTTCATTCTGTAGAAAATTAGTATTTGCTTTATAGAAGCAAATTCTTTCTGACTGTCCAGGACTCTGAGAGACAAAAGAGTGGAAAACTGTGCCTAGTAGTAACATCTAGAGCTAGTTTAAACTTCTGTCTCTGCTTCCACTGGGGTCTCAGAAAAATTATCCAAAGCTATGGGGAAAAAATGTTATAAAACTGCCATTTGAAATTACTTCTTGCTAATGTATTCTTTTTCACTTACACAACTCTGTTCTGATCATTGAAATAATATAGAAAGAGCATTTATTCATAGAATGAAATGACATAGATCTTTCTTAACTTTTGTGTTTAAACAACATTTTAAAATATAAAGAAAGCACACAAGTATCAATTCCATCCTCTGGTAAGTAAGCACAATTTTCTAACTGAAAATTTGCAATAAGTTTAAAAGAAAATGTTTACTTAGGGATATAGTCATAAAACTAACTACTTTCATTGTTCATTTAAATATATTTTCTATGACATTGAATATCTCATCATTGATTTCATCCTTAAAATATCATATCTTAAAACATTTCCAGCAAAGTATTCATGTTGAGGCATGTTTGCAAGATCTCAAACATAGCTCTATTTGGCGTACCAAGGACATAAAAATGAATAGTTACCTTCTGAAAGTTCCTCTGGATATTTTGGTAAGTTAAGAAACAGACATGAAAAAGTTAAGCCTTTGAGGAGATCAAGTTGGCAAACTAAAGATAAATAACAAACAATAGACACAAGTGAGGCATTCGTGTTACCCTTAGAGAAAGTTATAAGCTGGGCAAGATGAACAGCACACAAACTAGACCCAGAAACTCACTGGACTTGTGTCTGCTGCCCAGCAGATTCTAACTTTCTGAAAGCTGCTTATCTCAACTCTCCTCGAAGGCCCTCTATCCATGCAGACTTCCCTCTACCCAGCTATCACAGAATGGGGATTGAAAGAGAGAAATTAGAGGAAGTCAACTGATGTGAGCCTTCTCTCTCTTTCTCTGCCAGAGGCCATCTGCCTGCAACCCTGTGATGTGAAGGAAGTGGTGCAAGGGGCACTGGCAGCCTTTAGCCACACCATCCTCACTCCTTACCCGTCCCAGGCCCAGTTACATATTCCACCTCCAGTTGGCCCCTTGAAGAGAGGTGTAACTAAACACAAAGCATACTCTTTTCTTTGTTTTCTAGACATCTTGAAACATCTATCATCCCTGTTTTTGTTTGTCTGTTTTTGGCAGGGGAGAGAGAGTGTGAGTGTGAGTGTGTGTGTGTGTGTGTGTGTGTGTGTGTGTGTAAATTGAATTCCTAATTAGATTATACCATCCAGAGGTATTCAAAGAGGTCACATGATACTTCATTCAGAGACAAGTTGGGGACAAAATTTAAGAAACTTAACTGCCCATTAAGTGCTCAAGGAACAGAATTAAGCATCTTAGAAAAAAATGCCAGCCTGGAGCCAATTGTTCCTTAATTGAGCTCCTAAGTGAGGAGGATTCAGAATGTACTTGAGAGTTCTCACTCTTTCAACCAAGAGGAGTCCAGAAGGAGTGCTTTACCTTAACTAAGGGCAGCTGCATACTTTCCTCTGCAGTTCTATTAGAGAACTAACTGCTGATTGCCCCCTGTATTTCTTTATAATAATGCTGGCTAACCCTCAGGCACTTATGTTCTAAGCATGTTTGATATATATAATTTTTCCCACTTCAGACATGGAGCACCTGAAGGATAAACTGTGGAAAATTCTTAAAGAGATGGGAATACCAGATCGCCTTACCTGTCTCTGGAGAAACCTATATGTGGGTCAAGAAGCAACAGTTAGAACCAGACATGGAACAATGGACTGGTTCAAAATTGGGAAAGGAGTACGTCAAAGCTGTATATTGTCACCCTGCTTATTTAACTTATATGCAGAGTACATCATGTGAAATGCTGGGCTGGATGAATCACAACCTGGAATCAAGATTGCTGGGAGAAATATCAACAACCTCAGGTATGTAGATGATTCCACGCTAGTGGCAGAAAAGAAAAACTAAAGAGCTTCTTGATGAGGGTAAAAGTGGAGAGTGAAAAACTAGCTTAGAACTCAACATTAAAAAAACTAAGATAGTGGCATCCAGTCCCATCGCTTCATGGCAAATAGGAAGGGAAAAAGTATAAGCAGTGACAGATTTTATTTCCTTGGGCTCCAAAATCACTGAAGACAGTGACTGCAACCATGAAATTAAAAGACGCTTGCTCCTTGGAAGAAAAACTATGACCAACTTAGACAGCATATTAAGAGCAGAGACATTACTTTACTGACAAAGGTCCATCTAGTCAAAATTATGGTTTTTCAGTAGTCATTTACAGATGTGAGTGTTGGACCATAAAGAAGGCTGAGCACCAAAGAATTAATGCTTTGGAGCCGTGTGTTGGAGAAGACTCTTGAGAGTCCCTTGGGTTGAAAGGAGATCAAATCAGTCAATCCTAAAGGAAATCAGTCCTGAATATTCATTGGAAGGACTGTTGCCAAAGCTGAAACTACAATATTTTGGCCACTTGATGCAAAGAGCCGACTCATTAGAAAAGACCTTGATGCCTGGAAAGATGGAGGGCAAAAGGAGAAGAGGGTGACAGAGGGTGAGATAGTTAGATGGCATCACCAACTCAATGGACATGAATCTGAGCAAACTTTGCGAGATAGTGGAGGACAGAGGAGCCTGACATGCTACAGTCCATGGAGTCGCAAAGAGTTGGACATGACTTAGCTACTGAACAATAACAACAATAACCTGAAGGGCAAAGAGGTTAAGTGACAGAGGAGCCCCCCAGTTAGCGAGTAATGGGCCAGAATTCATGCTTGGACATTCTGCCTCCAGTCCATGGCTTTGACCACTGCCACACTGCCTTTCCTTTCACAGATGTCTCAAGTACCTCTAAGCCTCAGCTGCAACTTTGGCATGCAGAGTGTCTCCAGCAAAATGACGAGTTGAACAGAACAAAGAAGGATGACTATAATCCAGAGGAATTAAAAATTAAACCAATCCCAAACACTGAACCAAGTGTAGATCATTAAATCACCCCTAACAGGCCAATTATCTAATTGAAAACAGGAAATTTAGAAAGAACATAAATGGTAAATAATTTAGGTGAGTAGTTTCCCAGCATCTGCCTCGATGCTATCTCTTCTATAACTAATATATACACAGCAATCTCTCTACTCATAAAATGAAATTGATAGATATAATCTAACATATATAACTTTTAAAAGCCAGTGCAATGCTCTGCATGCGCGTGTGCTGTCACTTCAGCCGTGTCCGACTCTCTGAGACCCTAAGGACTGCAGTCTGCCAGGCTCCTCTGTCTGTGGGATCCTCCAGGCAAGAATCCTGGAGTGGGTTGTGCAGTGCTCTAACTGGAATATAAAGAAAGTAAAAGGAAGTGATTTATATTTTTAAAGTCTGTATTTTTAAAAAGTATATATTTCAAAATATAAATCTTTGGGATGACTTCTCTATTAGACATGAGAAACTATTAGATGCTTATACCTACCTATATTGAAGGATTCCCTAGTGGCTCAGTTGGTAAAGAATCTGCCTGCAATGCAGGAGACCAGGGTTCGATCCCTGGGTCGGGAAGATCCCCTGGAGGAGAAGGAAATGGCAACCCACTCCAGTATTCTTATGATGCTTACACCTACCTATACTGAAGAAGCATGGCTTTAAAGGAAGTAAGAAGATCAGAAAATAGTCCTAATATGGAAAATAGAGAAAAATAGAGAAGCAAAGTAACAAGTGGACACTAGAAAAAAAAAAAAAAACATGTTCTGATAAATAATAACAGATTCAATTTATTTGTATATATGGGAAAGGGGGAACTTAAAATAGATGTAATGTATGACAAAGTAATTATAGACTGATGAAGTGGAGAAAATGAAACATTATACAGTAGAAGAGGATGAGTAAGGTTAACATGCTCCCAAAGGTTGCCAATCCCTAAATACTCTGTGGGATTTAATTTTTTTCTTTTTTACTAACAAGGTCAACAGTACTTTGAGGACCAGATACTGGATGAAACCATGTGTCATCAATAATGACAATAAGATGTTAAAGAAAAAGGAAATAATTGATTTAGTATAGATACCTCACTTTCCAGTTTATTTTCTGTCAGTACAGATTAGACAGAATGGGTGGAATAAATTATTCAACACGTTCAAGGCAATGTCTTTATTCTGTTTAAATATCTGTCTCCATAATGACACTCTTCTAAACCGATGAGCTTTTCATGTTACATCTTGTGAAAACTCCCATCACTACTGTGTATTAAAGAATTACATGCTCAGATTTGTAATAAGTGTTGTCTGGCATGACATCGGGAGATGGTGCAGGACAGTCTCACACTCGGCAGCTCACCTGGCACCCCCAACGCCCAGAGTGGAAGGCCAGCCGTGCCCCCAGTCAATATGAAAGCCAAAACAATGCTCCCAGAGGCTTCCAAAATGTCCCTGATGAGAAGCGCCTCTTAAGGTGAAGTTTACAATATCTCACAACCATACCGTTGATGTATTTATTCACACCCCGAAAAAGTGTTTAACGTATACCAAAATTTGGATAATACATTTATAAACCAGTACCAAATATTCACGTCTTACTTACCAGATTCAAATGTTTCTTCATCTGTCGTTTTTCCATGGAGGCAAAACAAAAGTGTAGTTATGTTACTATCCATAGCAAGTCTATAGTTCAACAGTCTAATTCCCTGGTCCTATGTTTCTGCACACACAACACTTCTAAAATGCTTTTCCACCATTATACACCAGTCAGGATGGCTGCTATCCAAAAGTCTACAAGCAATAAATGCTGGAGAGGGTGTGGAGAAAAGGGAACCCTCTTACACTGNATACAGCAGGAGCTTAAAATAAAAAAAATCATAAAATAGAAAAGGATAAATAAAATTAAAAAGAGGCTCAGAGGGAAGGGAAAGGTGGAATGTCATGGTAAACTCCAATATCTGGTTGGATGTTATACAGCTTAGCTTCTAGAGGCTTGCCGGGAGCTTTGGAGGTCCATAAGCAAGGGGAGCAGGATAAGGGGAAGAAGTATATGAATAGCTTGACAGGTTAGGGTTGGTTAGGCGACTGAAAAATACCTGAGATAAATCAAATGCCTCATCAGTTAAAATGATTATTGTTAGTGTTTTTTAAAGAGACATTAAGCATTAAGAAGCTAGAATTTATATGCAGAGCAATTTGAAATATATAGCAATATTACTAATACATCCTTGAATCTGGTGATGCTACACCTAAGGTCTACTCATGTGTGAAATTGTTTATAATAGAAAAGATTGGACATAATTCAAATGTCTACCAGTAAGTGATTATATAAATGCACGACAACTTACTTAATCAATAAGCTCTTTAAAAAAATATGAGGAGGCTCTTTATGTATTATGATGGAATCATCTCCAAAGATACAATTTTAAGTAAAAAAAAAACCAGGAACAGAACAGCGTATATAGCATACCGTCAAAGGCATGCATTTGTATTTTAAAAAGAGGTGAGAGTGAGGCGTGTGGGAGAGGAGGAAAAAACATACATCATTGCACAGAATATGTCTGGAGCGATGCCAAAGAAACAGAGCATTTATTGCCTCGAGAAAGAAAATCAAGTAGGGAAAGAGGAAGAGAGAGGGAATTTTACTGAATATACTTTTGTAGTTTTTTGAACTTGAAAGATGTGACTGGTTAACCTAATAAAAACTTTTCATTAAAATTATAGAAAGGAAATGAATATTACTGCTAGTTAAAAAACTCATACCCAGGATGTTTACTTGGTAGAATAAATATAACGTCAACATTATTCTGTAGTTGTTCTGGGGAAATATACATAAATCTTTGAAATACTCAGTATTTAAACATTTCATGTCATTCTTTAATTTCTAAAACTAAATTAACCTGTAAAGCCAAGACACATTCACTTATCAGACTAAAGACTCTCCAATTAGTCTTCCAACAAAATCCTAGTGATTCTTGAGTCAATCTTAGTTTTGCCACTAAATTTGAAACATCTTTTCCAAATTTTCAAAAAGTGTAAGGATAGAAATGTGAGAAGTTTTAATATATCTCTCATAAATTTGGAACCCATGAGTACTGATGATACTAGGATCTACCAGAATGATATGATATCAAACAATAACTAGATATTTTGCATTTTAAAAGTTTGGTATCTCAGTATTTCATGGTATTTCGCAAAGAGCATGTGGGTTCTCGATATTTCTCCTGAATGTTGCTGAATGTATCACTAGAGCATTACTGTGTGTTTCTGTGATCACTTCCAAAATGCTGCTTTCTAGAACACTTTCTAAAAGGTTGGTCTGGAGCATGGAGACATCCTTCCAGCTGCGCTTCCCTTCTGAGTGTCAGAACCACAGAAAATGCTGCGGTGCGGACTTATTTTATACATTTCTTCCAGAGAAGAAGGCCCACGGGTCTTTTGACTGACTCTGCTTCAGAAAATCTGTAGTTGAGCTGCTTTGTACTTCTCCTAGTAGTAAATCTATCAAGAAATGCTACCTGCTTCCACACATTTCTCATCAATCTTCATGTCATCATCTATAAAAGAGCACAGAGAGGGGAAAAATGGAATTAAAATGTGTTACTATCACAACAAAAATCCCCTGTGTATAGGCTTATGGCAGTGAAACTCAGACCATCATATATCATGTTATTCTTACAACAACCACTCACTCAGACAGATAAAAAGGACTCTATTGTACTCAAGGAAAATATATGTTATGGGAGGCTACAGGACATCAAATGGTTAAAATTATAAAAGCATAGGTTTTTGAATGCTGGACAAATGATTTTACCTCTAAGCCTCCATTTTCTATCTATAAATGAGGGTAGTAACAATACATACTATACTGGATAGGATTGAGATAATGCAGGAAAAGCTCATACACATGGTAAGTGCTCAAAAAGATTTAACTATTTTTACCTTTAGTTAGGATATATATATATATGAGAATAAAAGAATATAACTTTTAAAATTGTTCAACTCAGAACTGTTTACAGTGTAACCCAAACCCTGTATACGTTGTCTTTTGACTGATATCTTTTTATAAATTAGGGTATTAGTGACTAGTACACTATTAGGCACACAGAAAGAGCTTATTAAATAGCTGAATTGAAATGAAGTGAATTAAGAAAGCTATAGGAAATTTCTAGGTGGCTTTGAAGATGAGGCTTTTTTTCCCACAAATACTGTTTCCTACCTTCCTCCATAGAAATCGCTGGGTACAGTTGATTGAAGTAGCGGGGGGGAAAGAGAGAATATTAGCACAATATTTTATGCTATAATTTATCAGATGAATTTACCTACATTAAGAAAAGTGAAGTGCCAAAATTATTCTCTAAAAATTCAGTGGAGACTCAGTAACAAAATGCTAAGTGAATATCCTATAGAAACCAATACATTCGTGAGCCTTGATGGAAACGGAATCTATTTGCTTCTGGCAAATCTTATTCCCTTCTATCCTAATAAATTCTGCAAGAGTTGCATTCTACTCATTTTGAATTAAGGCACTTATTATTCATTCATTATATTTTAAGAATTCCAATCTTGAATGAAAAGAAGAAAGGGAAAGAAAGGAAGGGGGAAAGAGGAAGAAAAGAGGGAAGGAAGAGAGAGAAAGGAGGGAGGGAAAGAGATGACAACTACAGTGCATCTTCAGTTAATAACTCTTTAGTAACTGTCTATAAACTAACATATGCTTGGAATTTTTCCATAACTCTTGAGTAATAAAATTGTGTACACCTTCTGAATCAGTAACCTTTCCTGAGATTTTTTTTTTTCCTATAGTAACTTTCAATAGAACAGAGAGATATGAAATAACATTTCATTTTGACATTTCATATTTACCGATATTTATTTGTAACATCATCTACAAAAACTAAAAAGAGTGCTCGCTTCGGCAGCACATATACTAAAAACTAAAAAGAAATGGCTTGATGGTTCAGATGATGATGTCCTCTGTCGAAAACATCTCTGTGAGAGATGATCCTTTAAGTCAGTGGGCTCTATACCTGGGGTTCTTGGACTCAGAAATATGTGAGGATAATAATACAGAGCTTCAAACTCTTTTCAAGATGGACTTTGCAAAAGTCTAATAGAAGTGGCACATAGCCTGTGCAAGCAAATTAAATGGGAACAAGTGGTCCTGCTAGTTATCAGACACTGATTAAAGCTGAGTTAGAATTTTCATATGCCTTTGATAAACAAAATAGAAAGATGAGTTAAAGAAGTCCTTCAATCTGGTTTGGGAAACAAACTGTTTTTCAAAGCACAGGGGAAATAACTAGAATATCACCATGAAGATTATATCATGACAAATGTTTCTGATAAAATGTTACATTAGGGAAAAAAGATAAAAGGTAGCATTGCAGCTGTTACTATAGTAACATGTAACCATGTTATAGTAACCATGTAAAATATGGTTCCATAACTGGAAGGTAGTATGAAAACATTGCCAGTGTAAAGGAATTCTAAGAATTTATTTCCCAAAAAATGTCTTTATAGTTGTGATGCTTTCAAGAGATAAAAAGGGATTTTTGACTTAGAGAACGGAGAAATAAAGTGGGTGAGAACTCTCTATGGGCGAATCTATGTCTATGGCCCTCTCCGTCCTCTGGGTGCCCCTTCCCCTTCTGTAACTGCTGCCGAGAGTGCATCAGAAGGGCCTTGATCGGGAGGTTCTAGTTGCACTCTGCAAGCTAACATCCCTCATTAAGGCAGCAAATCGTCCACAAGCGTTTGCCACCGTGGGTGCCTTTGCTGACCATTGCCCCACTGCCATCTGAAAACACTGTGTAGTGGACAAACTACACTCATTGAATAGTAATTCAGTCCCACGTTTACTTGCCAAAGGCACACGCACTATGCCACCATGCAGCCTTGCTTGTCAGTAGATGTGCAATGCACGCACTAGCCATTGACATCTCAGGGGACTTCAGGCTGGGGAGTGATCCCTGAATGTGTCATGACACAAGGACATTTACATTTTCACAAACTGAAAACTCTTTTAAATCCCAAGGAATGAATATTTAGGCAGGATTTCAGACGGCTACCAGAAGGCCATTTGGGACATGGGGATGTTTAAATATCCTCCATTGGGCAGGAAGCCAGTCCTGGGAGAGATGGAGCTGGCTTCCTCGTGAGGCACATGCTGGATTTAAGGCGTCAGCACACTCACAGATGGTGGATCTGAGGTGGTTGTAAGACTGGTACGGCTGAGACCACCAGAACTCCCGTTGCTTCCTGTGAAAAAACAAATACACCGTGAGAAAAAGAAAAAAAAAGAACCCAGGTTAACTCAGGTGAGATAGACCCAAGACAGAAAATTTTCTAGAATTCTGTTGCCTCCAACCAAGTGAACAAGATTCCACCTCCAAAGTGTCAGTTGCTCAGTCAAGTCCAACTCTTTGTGACGCCATGGACTATAACCTGCCAGGCTCCTCTGTCCATGGAATTCTACAGACAAGAATACTGGAGTGGATAGCCATTCCCTTCTCCAGGGGATCTTCCTGACCCAGGGGTCGAACCTAGGTCTCTTGCATTGCAGGCAGACTCTTCACCATCTGAGCCACCAGGGAAGCCTCCACACACATTGCCAAGTACGTTCTCCAAATGTTCAGTCTTTCTTATTTTGTCCTGCCTCACAGCATCTTTTCAGAGCCAAACCGACTTAGAGTTAACACCCAGCCCATGACCCTAGTTCACATGCCCCGGGCTTCAGTCCCTGAGCCATGGCACCCCAAGCTCCGGCGTGTCAGCCTGCTCCAGCGGGTCTCAGAATATTCACCGCATGTTCTGGTTCCCCTCCCAAGCTGTGAGGCTCTGCACACTCCCTTTAGAGCCACATGAATTTCAACTCATTCTGTCACCCTTTATTTGTGCACTGATCCAATGAGCCTGTCATTTCTGTGTGCTCCTTGCAAGTCCCCCACCAGAGCCTCCTCACCGCTCTCTGCTCTGAGACCATGAAGACTAATCTCATTAGACCTTCATCCCTGTGTGTGTCCTCAGCCCCCAAATTCAAGTCATTCCTTATCCTCTGCACTTTAATTCCTGTTCCATCTACCACCCGCCACTCCTTTCACACACCCTCTGGAACTGGTAGCAAAACTTTAGTGAAGCCTCTCACAACACTTTACCTTCTTGGAGCTTTCCCAGAGCCTCAGATGGTAAAGAATCTGCCTGCAATGCAGGAGACCTGGGTTCAATCCCTAGGTCAGGAAGATTCCCTGGAGAAGGGAATGACAACCCACTCCAGTATTCTTACCCAGGGAATTCCACGGACAGAGGAGCCTGGCAGGCTACAGTTCCTGGGGTCTCAAAGACTCAGACACGACTGAGTGACTAATGCTTGCACTTTCACCTTTCACCTTCTTGCCCTAACCAAACCCGGGTCCCCCGGAGGCCCCTGCCCCCAGGTGTGTGTGGGTAAATCAGCCCGTCAGGGTTGGGGGGGAGGGGAACCCTGAAGTACAACTTAGCTGACTCCGCTAGTGTCAGCATTCCCACTGCGACTGATTTCAAGCTGCCACCCGATGTCACTGACCAGGAGGAAGGGCGCACATGGACTCTGAGGGCCGGCTCCAGCACGCCACTGCAGGAGCCCTCACTCCACAGGGCCTGGAGGTGGGGGGTCGCTGTCCCGCCATCTGCAGACCATTCTCCCTCCTCCCTAGAAGAGGCCCTCACTTTGAGTACCCTCCTCCTGATTCTTCTGGAAGCCATTCTCACTCCCATGCTCTAAACACTGCTCCGTCATAATTCGTGATGATTTTATTTGGCACGTTAATGTCTCTTCCAACACCCTGGCCTCTTGGTTCCTTGATCTCCTCTCTTCCAGTGGCCTTAGCTAATGCCTCCCACTGTCATCCCCTAGACCTTCAGTTCCAAAAACTACAATCTCTATAATTTTTATGTCTAGCATCCCTTTCTTCTACCAGCGACTTCTGTCTTCCCACTCCAATAATCTATCAACCTCATAGGAACCTGTAATCCATTAACCTTACTTCCTTTCCACTGATCCTACACTGTCACCTCCCTCCTTAGCATAAATGTCATGATCCATCATGAAAGACACTCTCTTCTCCCTCTCTTGATTTACTGCTAAGTCTGACTCTCTGTCTAGTCTGGATCTGTCCTCCCAGGAAGCTGACCAAATTTATGTAAATTTGACTATAAATTTATGGACTTGAAGCCTAAGTGGGTCCTTAATGCTGATGATACTGTATTTACTCAATCAACTTCTCTCCAGTTCTCATAGAAACTTTTCAAGCTTTCTCCTCTTTCCTTCCCAAAATCTCCTACCCACTTTACTGCCAGCTATGACATTGGTTGATAAGAAAATAAGGGCAGATGAAAGAGACTTTCCATAAGCTTGTACCACATCCCTCATCCCCAGCTGTGTCCACACTCGGCATTCTCTACTGCTGCGGCTACTGTGGGTAAACTGCTCAGAATCCTGTACAGGGCCAACCCCTCTACTTTTAGACTTCATCACATCTCCATCTGCCTCCCTAAGGACTAATAACAGCAGCAGTTCTCTCCTCTTTCTCCTGTATCAGAAAAGTTTCCCTCTCACTGGATTTCCCCCATTAGCATTATCTACCCCCACCTAAAAACTCTCTCATACCACTCTGCTTTCTCCTCTAGGTATTTCTCCACTGCTCTGTTCTGCCTTATACAAAATGTTTCAAAGATTCTCCCCTGCTCATCGCTGTCAAAGTCTTCAAATCCCCTTTTACTCAGACTTTGGCCTACCTCTCCACTGAAATTGCTTTTATCAAGATCACCAATGACCTCCTTTACTAAATCCAGTGGTCAATTCTCAGTCTCCACAACAGTGGTGAACATAGTTGATCAGGACACTCAACCATCTTAATTTTCATGACCTGTCTCATTGGCTATTGCTTCTCAGTCTCTTTTGCTGGTTCCATTTTCTTCTTTGTGACCTCTTAACATTGGCTGAGTCTTGGGCCTCTTATTCTATCTTCTTTCTAACTCTAATCATTTCCTTGGACCTCAGTAGCACCAAGGTGATGGTGATGAGTTGAGATTCAGTAACTAAGCTTTCAACTTAAAAGATTAATAGAGGGAGTCAGAACTACCTTTTAAACTTTAGTTTCCCCAGTACTCTTCTCTCTTTTCCAGTTGATACAATTATCCTGGTCCCTTTGGTATTTAAGATGTTTAGGGCATATTGACAAGTTGACATTTGGCTTTATAGACCAGTATGTGTTCATCTATCTGCGTGTCTCTCCTTCTCTCATCTTAACTGCAGTAACACTGCTTGTCTCCTTTAATTGCAAAAACCCGGGAAATGTTTTCTTTTCTGATGACTCGGTCTTAGGTCCAGGAGTGATGACTTTTCTTACCTCTTCAGAAGTTGGTTAGAAGGGATCAAGCCAGCACAGGTACCCAGGTCAGAGATTTTCCGGGCCTGCCACCAGAGAGCATCATTCTGGTCCACAATCTGGAGGATGTCCCCCTTCTGGAAAGGCAGCCCGGCATCCATGCAAGGGATGGTGGGGTCCTCCTGGGGCCAGTACTCGATCATGGCACGAACATACACCTGATGGTAGGCACACAGTGAATCATCAGAAGAATCCTTATCCTCAGGTTTTTAAGACTTAAAATCATCTCTCTCACTCTTCTACCTACTGCGGCTATCTTTCCTCTCCATCTTCACCAAGAAGAAATCCCTCCTAGAACTGAGTCTAAGAGCCATGAAAAAAAAAAAGTGACTTTGGGAATAAAATCTTTTAGCTCTGAGAAGTCTCTGCTCAAATGTTCACCATTCTTGATGTTACTTCTTAGCTTCTCAATATCCCATCTCCTCTTACTGTGTTCATTTACGGATTTGCATCTCAGGTCATCAGTGTTGAAAAATATGCAATATAATATTGAACAAATGATCAACACATTACAGAGGATAGTAGTAAAATATAAAGTTTTTTTTTTTGCTGTTATTGTGGAGGATTTACTATGTGTGGGTCTGAAGGTTCAGTTAATTCTTACCGTCTTCTGGCTGTTAACAGGAGGGTCAGAAACTGGAACCACCTTGAACATGATTGTGCCACGAGACATGGCCTGGAAAATGTCAGAAGAGAGAATGGCAAATCTCAGGCTTTACTGGGTTATCAGGGTTTGGCAGGTGAAAGTTAAATACTCAATGTGTGCAGGTCAAATGGTGACATCTCCCACAGGGGCTTTTACAAGGGCTCAACTGCTAAATATCACCACCCAGAAATGGACATTAGAAGAAATTTAGCTTCACTTCTGTCCTGCTGCGGGGGGTCCAGGGTCCTGAGGCTGGACTCTCCTAGTACCCTCCACCTTGCTCTCATCAGGACACCACACTCAGCAAGCTCTTTTTCCCCCAAGGCATGAGGAGGGAGAGGAACTCTTGATCTGACTTTCACTCCTCATGTCTCAGTCAGGAAGCCTTTCCTGAACACTTGTTTCTGCATCAGGCAGCCTCATCTGATGGGGAAGAAGATAAAGTGCTCCCGAGTCTTCTCGAGGGTACTGACAAGCCTCTAAACTAAGGGTGGAGGAGACAGAGAACCTCCTAGCTTGATGCAGGAGGTAGGAACAGCCCCTCCTCTGCTCCACCCCCCGAAACACACCATGACAGACACTGGAGATCCAGAGATGAACAAGAAAGATCTCATTCTCACGCAGGAATCTCATGATGCCACTGTCATCATAACTCCACAGCTGGTACCAAAAGGACTGCGGTGGACACATGTGTATCTGTGATTGACAGTCCTTTAAGCTCTTTTGGCAGAACATTTTATACCACGAAGAATCTTGTATAGCAGTTTGCAAAATATTTAGGTGCTTAATATACTCCTTACTGGGGGCTTTTCAGGGCTAGTGGTAAAGAACCTGCCTGCCAATGCAGGAGATGCAAGAGACTCAGTTTCAATCCTTGGGTTGGGAAGATCCCCCGGAGAAGGAAATGGCAGTCCACTCCAGTATTCTTACCTGGAGAATCCCCATGGACAGAGGAGCCTGGCGGGCTACAGTCCATAAGGTCGCACAGAGTCGGACACGACTGAAGTGACTTAGCATGCACACATACTCCTTATTATACCACTTCTCATCTCAGTCCCTAAGGCACATCCATGAAAATCTAGAGTTCTCCCAAGAACCCAGTGTGAGGACCGCTAGTATATGTCATATATAATAGTCGACCTCAGGCCCCACAGTGGGGGAGTGCACAGGGGAGGTGAGCGGGGGATGGCGCTCTGCCTATATTGACAGCTGAACAGTGACCTGGGCAATGGTTTGAAGGATGGAAATGAGAACCGAAAAGAAACCAAAAGCTCACATAATCAGGTCATAAATCCCCATCTCAACACAAGGACTGGCAGGGCCAGCAAAGATGTCCCCCTCCCCATATGCTGCCGTCTGGACTTCTTTTCTACCTCAAAGCTGCCTCAAAGAAACTGCATAAAAACGTTAGGGGAGCAAGGGGTGGTTTGCTGAGGTCCAGACTCTCCTCCACAGTGTCACTCTGCCCACCCCGGGCTCAGTTTCCAACAGGGCAGCCCAGGTGATGAGGACCTGGGCTGTCATCCTGAGGCTGAAAGAGCAGCTTGGGAAGGGACATCTCCAGCAGGAGCCAGGTCAGCTGGAGGGAGGGAGCAGGTAAGGGGGACGAGATGTGTGAAAACAGACGGGCTCCAGGGCCTGGCTGCTCTGATCACCCGAATCCCCCTCCAGTCACAGTGCACACTCCAGGGGCTGGATGCAACGCCACAGTCAGGCATGGATAAGGCAAGGAGGGCTGTTACCAGAATGTGGATCACTTGCTCAGGGTCCAGTCCTTCAACGGAAACTCCATTCACTTCCACCAGTTTGTCTCCGGCGTATAACAGCCCTAGGCAAACCGGAACACAAAACAAAGAGCGGTGCCAAACAACTCGCAAAAAGGGCGGTAGCCGTCCCAACACTGTTTAACAAACTCACTAACCCAAGCATGCTCTGACATCTTAAATTTTACTATGAAATTATAGGGATAATAAAGCAAACTGGTTAGTTGAATTTACACCACCACCAAAGTACATGAGAATTCCATTCTTCTACCTTTTCACCAACACTGGGCATTAACTGATGGTGATATTTTTAGTTTTGCTAATCTGATGTTGTAAAATGGGAACTGGAGTATTGGTAAGAAGATAAGACTAAAAATAAAGGTGTCTATAGTTTCCTTTGCTGTGCAAAAGCTTTTAAGTTTAATTAGGTCTCACTTATTTATTTATTTCCATTACTCTAGAAGGTAGGTCTCAGAGGATATTGCTGTGATTTATGTTGTCAAGTTTTCTACATATGTTTTCCTCTAAGAGTTTTATAGTTTCTGGCCTTACATTTATGTCTTTAATCCATTTTGAGTTTATCTTTGTGTAAGGTGTTAGGAAGTGTTCTAAGTTCATTCTTTTACAGGTAGCTGTCCAGTTTTCTCAGCACCACTTAAATTTAAAAAATAAAAATAAAGATGTCACGGTCGTGAGTAAATGTTAAATGAAAAGGAAATGGGGTGGGGGTATTCTTCAAAAGAGAAAGTGTAGAGAAACTTGGGGGTTAAGATTAAGCCTTGAGAATTATGAGATAAGACAATGGAGACAAAAAGCATTTTGAAAATTTCAAGAAAGTTATCTTCAACAACATCAAATGTGCTAGAGAAGTAAAAATAGAACTGAGGCTGAAGGGAAGGCCAGTGGACTTAGCAACTAGGAAGTTTCTGGGTAATTTCTCCAAGAATGTTGGCGTATGAATTCTGCCTCAGGTTTCCGGGGTCATGAGCAGTGAGGACCAGGGACAGTACGTACAGAAGTGCTGGTTTCAGAAGCGCAGCAGTGAAAAGAAGGAAATTCGGTTCCCAGATAGAAAAGGCAAGCAACAATGGTTTGAAGATGTGGAAGAGCTGTGACTTTTTGAAAGCAGAAGGACCAAGTGGAGAGTGAAAGTTGGGAATATAGAGAGAGGCAGATCTAGACTTGAACCCTAACTCAAACTGTGAAACCTCAAGCAAGTTAGGTGGTTAATCTTTGTGAACTTCAGTCTCCTCATCTATACAGTAGCAGGATAATACTTAGCTTGTTAGGTTTATGTGGGCATGTAAAGTGAAAGCAAATTAATTTAATGCATAGAATGGAGGGACTTGGTGAGGAAGGGCAATAGGGTTAGTTTCTCTGGAATATTTCCTTCTTAGTAACCAAGTTAGTTTCTCTGGAATATTTCCTTCTTAGTAACCAAGCAATGGAACTTATTAAAGGCTTGACCTTACATAGGAGACAGGGGTCCCCTGTTTTCCCGGTCACGGTTGCACACCGCTGCTCCAGCTTACCACTCCTCTCGGCCAGCCCACCGTGGATGACTCTGGCCACCAGGATGTCCCCTGTCATCTCGTGGCGCTTGATGGTAGCTCCCTGGGAAGAGAGTGCAGTGGAGCCCATTTTTTACCTTACATGACCACTTTCCTGGGGGCTTCCCCCAATGTCACTCTGGTCTTTCAAACAAGGGAATTAGTACCAACCAGGGTAATAGACGGAGAAGGAAATGACAAGCCACTCCAGTATTCTTGCCTGGAGAATTCTGTGGACAGAGGAGCCTACAGGCGGGCTACAGTCCACAGGGTCTCAAAGAGTCGGACACGACCGAGTGACTATCACTCACTCGCGCTCAGGGCCATACATACTCCATGTCATCAAAAAGGAAAGGCCATTTCACTTGGGTCTACCAGAGTCTCTATCCAACCACACAGACATCAAGTAATATTGAGATCCTTTCAGAGATAAACAGAATTTCCACAATTACAACCTAATCAAAGGAAATACACTTAGAAAATCACATTAATGCCTTACTTAGCTTCCCCTTAACAGAGGAAAAAACTTAGGCAAATACATTAGAACTGGGTGAAATATATGTACATGTCACAGAGTCAAATAATAAAATAATTCTTTTTTTTTCATAGCTGTTAAAAAGGAAAAACACTAAGCAGAAATCTTTCCTGGTGAAAACATTACAACCTGTAAAGTGTTTGAAATCACAGGCAAAATTGATTAAGAGATATTTTAGCCATCATTATCATGGATTCCCTCCTGCTGCCTGAGTGCCTCACACTATAGGTGACCATAGACAAGAATATTGCCCAACAGTTGTTTCAAGCTGCCTACCACACTATATTTCAAGAACTCTAAGGTGAAGCACTGATCTCTGCTAGAATCATATGAGGAGAAAGTACAACAGTGCTGATTTTGACTGCTTTCCTCTGGCTGACTGAAGAAGAAACAGAACAGACAAGTATTACAAAATTCTGTCGGCAACCATGCTTAGCTGGGAATAGGATTGCTGTGATAAAGTCAGAAAGATGGGTAGGTGATCAGCAAATCAGCAGAAAAAGGGAAAAACACATAACCCTCACAAAAAGGGAGAATAATTTGTAGCTCAAAGATATCCTTGATTGGATGGGGGAAGCTAATAGTTGAGTAAAGAGAAATTATTAGTTTAAATAACACATGCATAAGGAAAACTGCCAGTGGTTCTATGTATGGCCTTTGAAATATTTTGCTTATTTTAAATTAAAGAAAATTTGTATTAAAAAAATATTGCCCAAGTAACTACTAGAGATAACTTAGCTCCCAATTAACCCTGGTGTAATCCTAAATGAAAAGATATTAGTGAGATGATTTCCTTACCAGGGGCTGCTGGTTCTTCACCAAGCAAACAATCCTCATTGCTTCCTCGCTCTCAGGGATGTTGTCTGGCAGTGGGGGAAGAAGGGGCTCAAAGTCCTTCTGAGCTACCGTGTCATGGGCGCTGAGCAAAGCCTGGAAACAGAGAGGGAAAAGGCAAATGACCCTCACGCATAGGATGCAGCCACCTAGCAGATGCTGCCTCAGTACCGTGGGAGACACGTAGCAACAGCCTACACGTCCGTGCCAGGCTCAGTGCTAAGCGTTCTACGTGGATTAACTCAATCATCACAGCAACTCTGAGGCAGGGATACATACATTTCTAACTGTTAAAATTTATTTTTATATGATTTTAGTTTACTTTCCATTTTCAGTTGTTACAAAATAATGGCTATATTCCTGCTTGTACCATCCCCGTCCCTGTAGCCTGTCTTACACAGTGCTTCACACTCAGCACTCCCTCACCCCTGTATCGGTCCTCCCACTCACACTCCACGGGTAACTGCTAGCTTGTTCTCTGTATCTGCGAGTATGCTCCTTTTTTTTTTTTTTTTACTAGATTGCTGTATTTTTTAGGTTCCCCATATAAGTGATATCATACAGTATGTCTTTCTCTGTCTGATTTATTTCATTTAGCATAATTCTTTCAAAGTGTCCACCCGCGTTGTTTTATCCATGTTTGCAAATAGCAAAATCTCATTCATTTTTATGGCTGAATGGTACTCCATCGTGTGTGTGTGTGTGTGTGTATGTGTGTGTGTGTATCACACCGTCTTTATCCATTCGTCTGTTGATGGACACTTATGTTGCTTCCATACCTTGGCAACTGTAAATAGTGCTGCTATGTACGTTGGAGTGCATGTATTTTTTTCAAATTAGTGTTTTGGCTTTTGCGGGGGTGTGTGTACATATCCAGGAGTGGAATTGCTGAGTCAGATGGGAGCTCTATTTTTAGTTTTATGAAAAACCTCCGTACAGTTTTCCACAGGGGCTGCATTAATTTACCAGGGTTGCCTTCTCTACACATCCTCATGAGGCAAGTATATTCATCGTCCCCATGTTACAGATAAGGAAACAAGGCACTCAGAGGGCAAGCAACACATCATTTATTCTTTCATTTCTGATAAAATCTGTTCTGTTATGTTCTCATTTCCTGGAAACCCATGTAATCCGTGATGCTCCTGTAAACTTTAACTACAAAATAATTATTGTAATAGTTTTCCCAGGCAAGGCAGAATGAGAGGCAGTAATGAAAACATCTTGCTGGTTTAATTTGTCAGTAATACCCAAGACCCCATGTGAAACAGGATGAGAAAAAGCAGTCCCCTGGTTTAGGGTATGATCAAATAGTTCTAGTTCATTAAAATTTCATTTCCTGGGGTGGGGAAGGAGTCATTCCACAACTCTGCCTGAGACTGGTGGATGGAGCTCTGTTGGAACTCAGAGAAAATTCTGTAGGTTTATCTTGTGAAATAAAACGTTTTGACTCAAAAATTCCATTGCTCCAGATGCAGATATTCTTTTAAAGTTCTAATTTGTTGATAAATTGGCCTCAAAACCTGTAAGGTAGGGTTCTTTTCTGCGATCAAATGTTCTTTATATACCTCCTCATACAGCTATTCATGATTACATTGTTTTTTCCAAATACCTTCAAACACTTTATCTCTGAAACTTAAAATATTTCCCAGTTAGAGTGCTCGCTTTGGCAGCACATATACTAATATATTAAAATATTTCCCAGTTGGAAAGGATGTATGCTGCCTTAATTGTCCCCCAGAACTTTAGCAGAATGGTGGCTTTTCAGGGGGTAAACAAGATGCCACGGGAAGTCCTGAATGCCTCCGTATAAACAGAGCTGGCTTGGTTCCATGACCAATGAGATTAAGCCCCCCATCAGTCACATCTGAGTCCCACATCTTTCGGTATAATCTGTTGGTTACCCACATATAGTAAAAGAACATCTATTCAGAGAGCACATCTTTATTTTTTCTTCCCAACTCTGTCAATGTGCCGGATGGTTATACCTTGTCAATTTTAGCAAGCACTTGCCTTAAAGTGTGGAACCTGAAGGATCTGTCTTAGCTCTTGGATCTCAGGGGACTTGGGAGTTTCATGTAGTATCTTCACTACCTGGTTGGTGGGAAAGCATACATGTGAATTTTTAATAATCTTTACCACCTAGTTAACATCACCCAGGCTGTGGTGCACTGGGAAGACCCAGAGGGATGGGGTGGAGAGGGAGGTGGGAGGGGGGACTGGGATGGGGAATACATGTAAATCCATGGTTAATTCATTTCAATGTATGACAAAAACCACTGCAATGTTGTAAAGTAATTAGCNGTAGACCTGGCTTCTGATAGAACATAAGTGCTTTCAAGAATTTAATTCTGCAAATGCTCACCAGTCAAACAACATCACATCCAGTCAAATGAAAACAAGATGTTTAGCAAACTTTACCTCCACTCTCTAGGGTTACAGCTGAATAAAATCACATGTATGTGTTTCTCCATGGATAGCTAAGAACAATTTGAGTTGTTAATTACTGGAGTTTTGGCTGTAAGGTTTTATTTTTTTCTTTTTAAAAATTTCTATTAATGTGATTTGGACAATAAATAAAAATAAAATGGATTATATTTATGCATCCAAATATTGGGCTTCCCTGGTGGCTCAGATGGTAAAGAATCCACTTGCAAGGTGGGAGACCCAGGTTTGATCCCTGGGTGGGGAAGGTCCCCTGGAGGAGGGCATGGCAACTCCAGTATTTTTGCCTGGAGAATCCCCATGAACACAGGAGCCAGGCGGGCTACAGTACATGGGGTCGCAAAGAGTCGGATATGACTGAGCAACTTTCATTTTTCAGCAAATTTGTATTGAACACTTACTATGTGCTAGGTATTGTTTTTTGTTTGTTTGTTTTTAAATATGTATGTATGTATTTATTTACTTGGTTGTGCTGGGTCTCAGTCGTAGCACTTGAAATCTTTGATGATTTTTTTCTGACATGCAGGATCTAGTTCCCTGACCAGAGATCGAACCCTGGTCCTCTGCATTGGGAGGGCAGAGTCTTGGCCCCTGGACCACCAGGGAAGTCCCTAGACACTGTTTTAAGTGATGCAAATACAGCTATGAATAGGCAGACACAAATCCCCACACTCATAGAATTTACATTTTTGTTAGGAGCCACAGATAATAAGTAAAATGTGTAAGTAAAAAAAAAAAAAGTTTTATTTGATGATGAAAAGAATTAAGAAGAAAAATAAAACAAGGAAGGTGGATAGGGAGTGCTATGAGGGGATTGCAATTTTAGATGGGGTGACCAGAGAAAGTCTCTGTGAGAAGCTGACATTTCAGTGAAAACTGGAAGGAGATGAAGAAGCACATCATGTGGATATATAGGCAAGAACGTTACTGATGTAGGGAATAGCAAATGCAAAGGGCCTGTGGCAGGACCATGCCTGATTCAAACAACAACAAGTGGTTCATGAGACTGGAGCAGAGTGAATAAGGGAGAGGATGATAAGTCAACATCGAAGAGAGTTAACGCTATGTTTGGCTATATAACTTTGATGTTTACTCTGAGATGAGAAGGTGTAGAAGAGTTTGAGCAGGGAAGTGACACATTTTGACTCATCTTTAATTCAGAATGTCTTAATGGCTGCCATGACAGGAATAGATAGTTAGGGAGCAAGAGTAGAAAGAGGCGACCAGGCAGCTTGCTACATTGCAATTATCCATGTAAGAGAAAATGATGGCTATGTTCAGTGACACAGCAGAGGTGGTGTATTTCAACATATTTTGAAACCAGAGCTGAAGGACTGGGTGTGGGTATGACAGAAAGAGAAAGTCAAAGATGATCCCAAAGATGTTGGTTTAAGCACCACAAAAAGCAAAACTGAAAGCTCAATTAGAAGCAAGGATTAGATGCATAGTCACCAATTAAACATTTAGAGCATTTAAACTAGTACTATGAGTAAAATGGCATCATGTTAAAACTACTATTCTCTGGATGAAAAAAAGCACCTCACCTCGCAGGATAATGCCTGTGCATGGGTTGTGGCAGGAACAAACTTCTTCTCTTTGAATTCCTGGAGGCTGTCATAAACCTGCAGAGGGGCAGCGAGGAGAAAATGATGTACTGAGCAAAGGCTTGCCAAGGGGAGAATCAGCCTGGGCAACGGTGCCAGCAGGTGGGCAGCCTGTGTGCCAGCCTTTAGTAAGGTTTGTTAGGTTGCCAGAACTTTTTCACCTTATAATTAGATGCTTGTACCCTTTGACCAACATTGCCCCTTTTCCTTCATCCCCCAGCTCCTGGCAACCACTAATCTCTCTGTTTCTACAAGCTCCACATTTTTAGAGTCCACATGCACGTGAGATGACATGGTTTTTGTCTTTCTCGGACTTATTTCATTTAACATAATGCCCTGAGATCCACCCATGCTGTCGCAAAATTGGGTGAATAATATCCATTGGCCATCCCATTTCTGAGGATATAGTAAAATGAAATCACTATCTCAAAAACATATCTGCACCCCATGTTCATTGAGGCTTTATTTGCAATAGCTAAGGGCTTCCCAAGTGGCTCTAGTGGTAAAGAACTCACCTGCTGGTGCAGGAGATGTAAGAGACCCAGTTTCAATCCCTGGGTTGGGAAGATCCCCTGGAAAAGGAAATGGCAACCCACTCCAGGATTCTTGCCTGGAGAATCCCGTGGATAGAGGAGCCTGGCAGGCTACAGCCCTTGGGGTCACAAAGAGTCGGACATAACTGAGTGACTTAGCAAGTACACAAAAGCCAAAACACAAGGGGAAGAAATCTGTGTCCATCAAAGGATAAAGAAATCAGGTATTTTAAAGCCTGTGCTGTGAGGAGTACTTCTGTGTTCACACTAAATACATTGACCCTTCTTTTAAAAATATAATATTAATATGCACCATAAGGCTGACCACATTTCAGACCTAAGTGAAAGAAACACATCCCCCAAAGATAACTTCAAAAGGATCTTTCTTAATAATAACATTTGTTTAGAAGAACAAAATTATAATCTGATAGTAGATGCTATTGTATAGTGTGAAATTTCAGCCAAGTTATAAAAGAGATCCTGAGTAAGAAAAACTTAAGATACCTAAACAGAACTGTGGATATCTCATTTCCCAATTTATAAAAACAAAGAGGAATGATATTTTAAAGCCTTTTTATTTGTCCTGAGTTGACCTCAAGGACAAAGGGTTGTGGACAGCTGCTTATGGGTTTGCCAATGGCCATTTGCCGTGGCTGCTTTGTGACCCTGGGGCCCCTGGGGCAGAAAAGAGAGGGGCTGCTGTATTCTTTTCCACTCAAGTAAATTCCTTCCTAAACTTGGGGTTGTGTAGGTCTTCCTTGGACTTTTTCCCTATTGAGATTTCCTGCCATCTGACAGGCGACACTGACAGATGAGCAGGGGCCGCTCCCAAGGCCACGGCTTCAGAGCAGAAGAGCGCTCACCTTGAGCAGAGCCTGCAGCCACGGGGAGTGGAGGAGGTCGTACAAGAGACACACTCCGTTCACGTCTCGGGTGTAGAACAGGTTCAGCTCCTGTAGCACGAGCCTCAGGAGGTGCGAGATCCCTGGAAGCAGGAGAGGGCAGAGATGGGGCGGCAGATGAGGGCAGAAAGAAGGGCAGGTGTAACGTGAAGGACGATTCAGACCATGAGGAGGTTCCGGGGGCTCAAGAGGAGAGCAGTGGACACTGCATTTAAAGCCGAAAGATCTGTCTTCTGGCTCTGTTATCAGTGTGTGTGCTTCAGAAAACCATCCGAGTCTCTGGGAACTAGTTCCTTATAGAAAATGAGGGTATGTTTGCTTTGCTATAGAGTTCTTGCTAATATTAGGTGAACTAATAGATCACAGTAAACAGATGAAAAATTTTATGAGAGCAGTATTGCTTTCCCCTCCCCAGTCCTAACAGCCTCTGGTTTATTCTAAAATTATATAGTTGTTTTCTGGATCCTTCAAACATGTGGTCATCTGTATTTACCCTTTATGAAAATTCTCATTGAAAAACTCTCCCAATAGGCTCTTAGAAAATGTTTATTCATGTACGTGCCTGCAGTGGGTCTTACTTGTGACACGCAGGCTCTTTCAATTGCAGCTTGCAGAATCTTTAGCTGCAACAAGTGGGAGTTCCCCGACCAGGGATGGAACCTAGGCCTCCTGCTTTGGGAGTGAGGAGTCTTAGCCACTGTGTCACCAGGGAAGCCTCTCCCAATAGGCTTTTAATACGAACCTGAGGGTTCCACTATTAAAGGGACCGGACAGATTTTAGTAAATGCTTGTTTTTATAAGTGTTTTCATAGCAATCCTATTTGTTGCAATGGTGCTCTGAATATGAACAAGTTGCGAAGTTCTAAATAGAAGTAAGACATTGTGGGATAGGAAAAAAAGAGATTCCTAATCTACTGTATTGATTTCTTTCCTTTCGGCCTTAAAAATTGCTTGGATGTATCACTAATGGAGGAAACAGGACACTTCAAAGTGTATAACAAGTTCCATAGAGAAATCAGAATAAATCTATCAGAATTTCTGCCCCGAAATTGGATCACATTGTTAGAGTGGTATTGAAAGGCCTTTCTGGCCTAGAAAAGGAACTTGGCACCACATACCGTTCTCCGGATTGGTTCCCGTAGAGAACTTCTCGTCCTTCTTGTCTTTTTCATCTGGAAGATCTGATCCTTTGTCTGACTGTATCATCCTCCTTGCCCAAGATTTCAGAGGGGATTCAGAGCTAGGGAATAGATCAACAAACAGCACAGAGCTCATTCAGTCACACTGGCCACGCAGCTCTTAGTACATATAAAGGCATGTGTTTCCAACAGCATTGACTGAGCAAGTCGGACACTGTGCTACATACACACCGGGATCCACATCAGATAAAATGTTCCTGCCCAGGGGTACTTCCTCTCTAAATTAACCACCACCAGCTGTGTGGACGAGAAAACTCACAAAACATTCCTTCTGTCCCCTCTTTTTTTATTTTCATTTATTTTTAAATAAATATTTTGATACTTTATTTTTTAATGTGTTTATTTAATTTATTTATTTGGCTGTGCTGGGTCTTAGCTGCACATGTGGGATATAGTTCCCTGACCAGGGACTGAACCTGGGTCACCTGCATTGGGAGTGTGGAGTCTTAGCCACTGGGCCATCTGGGAAGTCCTTGTTCCCCTCTTTTTTTAAACAAGTGACCAAGTTATATTTGTTTATTTTCCACCTCTTTGCCTTGTTGATTTTACCACCATTCAGAGCTTGGAAGAGCGTTTTCTGGCCTGACTCTAGCCTCTCTAGCCTCTCCATCTGGCTCTGTTCTCTCTCATTGCACCAATAGTTCTCAAATAGCACTGGTCACAGTTGCAAAACTTATGGATTACTGCTGAAAGTATCATTAGAGTTTATTTTATATATTGCTATAAGTAGGTTTAAAGAAACAGAAACTCCAAACAATAGTGGCTGAACAGAGTAGAAGTTTATATCTTGCTCGTTTAAGAGTCCAGAGGCAGAAACAACCCAGGGCTAGTAGGGCTGCCCCACTCCTGAAATTCTTAGAGAATAGGCTCCTTCCAGCTCACTGCTCTGCCCCCTCAGGATGTGGTGTGATTCTTTCCTTCCTGCTCTAAGATGGTGGCGGAGCTCCAGCTATCACTTCTACATTTCAGCCAGCAGGATGAGGATCGAGAAAACGAGGGCAAAGGAGACATGCTCATTGCCTTGTGAGGAAGTTTGACCAGAGAGATGTCGCCCTACACGATGAGAAATCACTTCAGGCCCTGTAAATTTTCAAATGTCCCATTGGATTCTCATGTTGCTGAGAAAAACAAAACCAAAAAACTTCTAATTATCTGCCCCCAGGTGGTGCTAGTGGTAAAAAACCCACCTGCAAATGCAGGAGACATAAGAGACCTGTGTTCAACCCCTAGGTCGGGAAGATCCCCTGGAGAAGGAAATGGCAACCCACTCCAGTATTCTTACCTGGAGAATCCCATGGACAGAGGAGCCTGGTGGGCTACAGTCCATGGGGTCACAAAGAGTCAGACACGGCCGAAGCGACTTAGCACACACACACCAAAACTCAACTTCTCTTTATGTATAAACACAAAGTATTTTTGCACAGTTTTAATGTGCGTCGAATTTTCTGGGATGTTGCTACCATAACTGAAGAGTGAATTTACTTTGTTTTGCTTGGACTTTATCAAGCCCACCATTTCAGAAAAACCATGTCGTTAATGGTAAAGCTGCTCACAGTACATAACACACACTACAACACACCAGGGTGCGGCTGTGTCTGTCTGCATCCAAAGCTGCTGATTCCCTAGAGAATTCTTTTACAGGTGCAAACATGTGTTACTTCATTATACCTTTTGGTTCCAAACAGGAAAAGGAGTACGTCAAGGCTGTATATCGTCACCCTGCTTATTTAACTTATATGCAGAGTACATCATGAGAAACGCTGGGCTGGATGAAGCACAAGCTGGAATCAAGATTGCCTGGAGAAATATCAATAACCTCAGATATGCAGATGACACCACCCTTATGGCAGAAAGTGAAGAAGAACTNAATGTCAGTTGCGTGAATGCAGCATTCTCTCCGTCCAGTTATTGTTTGAAAATCTTTATGAACAAAGGTGTTTCTGGGAGGTACTCATGATAAGCAGCACAAGATTTAAGGTTTCTTGTTCATGGGACATTTTTAGCACACCTCGTGTGTACTAGGAGTTGGGATTACCAACATGAGGAATGCACGCTCTGGTGAGGAGAATGTTATATTTATTGATTCAGTTGCTATACATGGAGCAGTTCCCATATGCAGGCAGTTTATTCATCCCTGTCAGTTCAAAGTGGCTAAGTCCCTGCCCTGCTTACATTTTGATAAGTAGCAGGTAAACAAGTAATCGGGCTTCGGTAGCTCAGCTGGTAAAGAATCTGCCTGCAATGCTGGAGACCCTTGTTAGATTCTGGGTCGAGAAGATCACCTGGAGAAGGGATAGGCTACCCATTCTAGTATTCATGGTCTTCCCTGGTAGTTCATATGGCAAAGAATCCACCTGCAGTGTGGGAGACCTCAGTACGAACCCTGGGCTGGGAAGATCCCCAGGAGGAGGGCATGGCAAACCACTCCAGTATTCTTGCCTGGAGAAGCCTCATAGACAGAGAAGCCGGGAGGGCTACTGCCATGGATGGGGTGAGAAGTGTCGGACACAGCACAGTACAAACAAGTAATCTGATCATGAGAACCGTGGCAGTAACAAATAAGGTGATGAGAGCATGTCTGGGGAGCTCACTTAATTAGGGTGGTCGTGAGAAGATCTTACATGAAGATGGCATTTGAGATACTATCCAAAGGATGAATATAGGCTCTGTAAAGATTTAGGAGAGCATCCAGGCAGAGGGAAGAGCAAATGCCAAACATAAAAACCAGAAAGGGTTTGGTTTATTTCAGAAACACAAAGAGGAAACCAGTCTGGCTGCAGCATGGCTTTGTCGTCGGAGTTGCTGCGCCTGATGAGTTGAAAGTTAGAGGGGAAATAGGAATCCCGTGCTGAAGCCCTACGGGTTGTAATAAGGAGTGTGGGTTTTCTTCTGAGGACCAAAGGATGTAATTGAGATATTTTATGTAGGAAATTTGACTTTATTCTTGGGTCAGAAGATTCATCCGACTGCTTTGGGGAGGTTTAGGTATGAATGAGAAAGACTTGTTAAAAGCATATTGGTCTTATTCAAAAGAGAGAGAATGATGGAGACAGTGGAGACGCAAGTAGAAAAAATCTAAGATGTATTTTGGAGATAGGACTAAGTGCTTGATGATAAGAAAGATAAGGGAAAGGAATAAATTTATGATGGCTGCTATGTTTTTGGTATAATATTGACACTACAGTGAAGACTAAGAGAGGAGCTGGTAGAGTGGGTGGAGTGTTTGACAAAAAATAAGATAAATTGTGACAAGTGATCTAATGAATACCTATCATACTTCATACATACACGCAGTATTCATTCATCCCATATTTTCTGAGCAACTAGCATGTGCCAGACACTCGATATAAACTAGTGAATAATACAGACACAGATGCTGGTCTTCATGATGAAGTAGGTTTGATACTGATAAATACTCTGGAAGAAAAGAAAGAAGGGAGTAAGGGTTAGGTGTACCATATGAGGGGATTATTTGTCATTTTAAAGAGCATAGTGTAAATCCATGGCTGATTCATGTCAATGTATGACAAAAACCACTACAATATTGTAAAGTAATTAGCCTCCAACTAATAAATGAAAAAAATAATGAATAAATCAGGATTTTTTTTTAAAAGGAGTATTTCCATTTACTCGTTAAAGATGTGGGTATTGAATCGGATGAGGTTGAGAACCACTTTCTAGAATCTAGACAGACTGTGGGGTTGACTCAGGGAGGATGTCTAGGAAAAGACAGATCATCATGCAGTCTCTAAATTCTAAGGCAGTGAGCAGAGCAAAGCAGAACGCTATTATGAAATCTTAGACAGACTTGCTATACACATTCTTGCCCAGTCACAATGAAGTTTTCTAGTTTGCTAGATTCTGCCAAAACTTGACATCATAAACTTTTGCTTTGCACAGCACCTCCCGCCCTACCCAGGCCCAACTTGGCTTAAATCCTGCCTTGTTCCTGCATTCCAATTTTTGAGCCTCTATTGAATCATTTAGCACAACAGTTGCTTATATGACTCATTTTCCTCCCTGGAGGGGAGCACTTCCAAGGTAGGTTTGATAAGGGAGATGGAGTGTCTGCCAGACAAAATTCAGACCAAAGAGATGAGTCTAACACCAAGCCATCATACCTGGGCAACTTCTTAAAATGCTTCTCACAAATTGTCTGTTCTAGGTAAGGCAGTGTGAATTAAACAGTTATGCTATGTGTGTATTGTAGGTGAGCCATAGTTCTTCCATATTTAATGCCCAGATGACAGTGTGCCCGACCAGGCCTATCCATGCAGCAGATGGGGCCACTAGAGACTGTAGACTCCTGAGATGAAACTGTGAGTGAACCTTACAGACAGACTGCAGTTTCTATGTGTGTGTGTGCTAAATCCCATCAGTCGTGTCTGACTCTTTGCGACCCCATGGGCTGTAGGCCACCAGGTTCCTCTGTCCATGGGATTGTCCAGGCAAGGATACAGAAGGGGTTGCCATGCCCTCCGGGATTTCCCAGATAAGAATATTGGAGTGGGTTGCCATTTCCTTCTCCAGGGGATCTTCCTGACTCGGGGTTTGAACTCATGTCTCTTGGATTGGCAGGCAGATTCTTTACCACTGAGCCACCTGAGAAGCTGTGGTTTCCATAGTGAGTTCTAATTATTAAAGTGTATGTGTGCTCGGCCACTCAGTCACATCTGACTCTTGGCAACCCCAAGGACTGCAATCTGCCAGGCTCCTCTGTCTGTGGGATTTTCCCTGCAAGAATATTGACTTCAGCCTCATTCCCTGTTAAGACTTGGATCGAGGCTGACAGATCCTTGAGGCAAACAAATGCAATCTTATACATAAGGAATCTGACACTCAGTGGGGGTATTCAGTAGATTTCACAAATAGTAAAGACAAACATTATCCTCCTTTTCCCCCTATATTTACTCCTGAAACATGCTAGTTTTATGACCGTCAGCTGAGACTTAATCTATTTCTATCTTGAGGACGAGAATTCTTGATTGAGACTGTAATAGCCAACCATAGGCAATCCTAAGTAACACAGGAAGCATGGCCAGTTCTTATCATTAACTTAGAAGCTGCATTAGTGTTATTGACACATAAGAAATTTGCTTTCTTAATGTTACTAATGTTTCCTAGTGTTAGTTTAAAAATCAATATTTCTGTGAACTTTAAAAAATATAGTGATTATTATTAAATGGCACAATCCTTCCCCATATTATGCTTGTTTTTCAAAACAATGCTTTCCACTAGACAAAGCTGAAAAAGCACTTGAAACCTTAACAATGAGAAACTGCCTGTACAAAAATGGCGGCTTCCTCTGCGTCAAAAGGCTGTGGACTGGGACTGAGACAAATGTTCAGCTTTACTTAGTCTCCACACCAATTCATTATTCCATACTTAAGAAAGGGTTTCTCAAAGCAAAACCTGCTCTTTCAAAATCAAAAAATTCTCCATAGAATCTGGGATACGATGCAACTAAAGCATTCAAATATTACTCAGAATTTTTAGTCCTTAAAAATTGACAGAAGAGCAGACATTTGTATTAATAGATCTCTTCTGGTAACTGGGGGTCATCTGGCAGGGTCTCTTACCTGCAAGACTGCAAACATGTAACGCTGCTCCTATGCAGAGAAAGCTTTAGCAGGAAATACCAGTGGGCTATTAGGTGCCAAAGTCACCTCACTGTTCTAGATAAAACCTCAGTGCATCCTCTTTGATCTAATCCACGGAAGCCTAACCCCGCCTCACCACTAAATTACTCTTAAGCCTCCCCTGTTACAAATCTTCCTATGTGTTCCTAGCACTGGTTTCTTGCACTGGAAAGTCCAACATATCATTTTCAAACCTTCACTTTAGTATTTTCTGATGGCCAGCACATATAGCTAACCAAAAATAGATGAATATTTTTGTTGACTATTTCAGGGAAAGACACCCCCATGATAGACAACAGCATCTTTATTGAAATCTAAGGAAAAACTGATACTTGAGAGTAAGCTGACTTATTAATTTTATTTTCTCACATTATGGTGAGGAAAAAAATGGAAGATTCTTCATCCAGTAATAATGAGACTGATACATAATTTCCTTCTGGAAGTTCAGTTCAGTTCAGTCACTCAGTCATCTCCAACTCTTTGCAACCCCATGGACTGCAGCACGCCAGGCCTCCCTGTCCATCACCAACTCTTATAGTTGCTCAAACTCATGTCCATCAAGTTGGTGTTGCCATCCAACCATCTCATCTCTGTCGTCCCCTTCTCCTCCTGCCTTCAATCTCTCCCAGCATCAGGGTCTTTTCCAAGGAGTTAGCTTTTTGCATCAGGTAACCAGAGTACGGGAGCTTCAGCTTCATCATCAGTCCTTCCAATGAATATTCAGGACTAATTTCCTTTAGGATTGACTGGTTTGATTTCATGGCAGTCCCAGGGACTCTCAAGAGTCTTCTCCAACACCACAGTTCAAAAGCATCAATTCTTCGGCGTTCGGCTTTCTTTATAGTCCAACTCTCACATCCATACATGACTACTGGAAAAACCATAGCCTTTACTAGACGGACCTTTGTTGGCAAAGTAATGTCTCTGCTTTTTAATATGATGTCTAGGGGTCATAGCTTTTCTTCCAAGGAGCAAGGGGCTTTTAATTTAATGGCTGCAGTCACCATCTGCAGTGATTTTGGAGCCCCCCAAAATAAACTCTGTCACTGTTTCCATTGTTTCCCCATCTATTTGCCATGAAGTGATGGGACCAGATGCCATGACCTTAGTTTTCGGAATGTTGAGTTTTAAG